AAATAACAGATTGAATCTTCTTACTTCTTAGTCATATTTAAATAAAAATATTTACTGGCATAATTGGACTGACAATGAGGATAGAAAACGATCCGAAAAAAAGCTATATTAGGCTTTACCTAAATTTATCAAGGGATCTAGATGCATAAAAACTATGTTAACTGGTAAAACTTACGATAATCATTTGTCTGAACTTCTATTTGTGCTGCGACTCCGTAACCGTGTATCGTCTGACCAGCCAAACTCAAGTAATATCGTGTACTTGGCTCCAGATCAGTTAATAAATATTGTTGAGCATCTGCAGCAATGTCACGTGTTTCAGTAACCAATATCTTTGAACTTCGTTGATTGCCTTGTTGTGCATAATCTTGGGACTTCATTAGATCCCTTGTACTACCAGGTCGAAATCTCAACTTGTAACCAAGTAGCTTTTGATCATTTGGCATATCTGGTGGTATCCAAGTTAAATGGATATTTGTTGGTTTATAGAGACACCTCGAAAGTTTGTAGGTGCAGTTGGAACTATTTGTTTCGTTGTTTGGTGTTTAAATTTCCGTTTTGACCAAGGGAGGGGAAAGAAAGTAAATAAAATGTTTCTTTTAGATAGATTATGAGAACAAATAAAAAAGCAGGTCTGGACAACAGAATAAAGCAAACATGTTGTATACTTTATACATATACATATATGTATACAGATATGCATGAATATATTGTTTGCATGCTTATACACTTTGTGCAAAATTAGAGAGAACGTGACTTAGATGTTAGATAAGTTCAGGTATTAGATAAAAGTGAGGAAGTTAAATAAAGTTACACGTATGAATATTTCATCAGGAAAAGAGAGCTCACTTTCAATATTTTTCGGTATTTGTTTGGAAGAATCTTACGACCTCAGTGTCCTGACACAAATTACATCACAAAAGCAACTACTTTTATGAAACCCTCCATATTATTCCTACTATGAATGACATCCATAAGATTGTTATATTGTTCAAAGTATAGGACTTCTGAGTCATGATCTGTTACGCATCTAAAAAGAAACTTTATGATTTCACCACTGGTCTCATCTTTTCATCTCTGAAAACTTTTTCTAGTCATTTGAACTACTTACTCATAAAAAAGTAGTTCATTTGATTAGCAAAAATAAGCTGGTGACATAAAGCACTTAACTTGTATTACCGATTCAGTAACACAGTAAGGTATACAAAATAGACATTAGCTACTGAGAGCATTGAGATAACACCCTGAAGGAATAAAAATTAGGGAAAACAATATAGTATTAAGTTTATAGACTTAAGTCTTCAAAAACAAAATTCATTTTTGTGCATCAGGCTATTTACTAATTGTGTACGGTATATATAGCTCTATATTTCGATTTATATACATTCACGTATATGATGAACAAGTATTTATGTAAACGAACAGCACATGAATATACTTTCTAACTGTGTGTGCTGGTGAGCATGTTAGGTGGCATATGAATTTCCAACTTTCTAATGTATTTATTTGATAAATCATATTGGTAGATTAGAGTAAAATCTGTAATGAGGTGAAATGGTCATATAATAATGTGAAAAGATGAAAATGAGTAGGTATTTGTAAAGAGAAAGGTATGTTGAAGGATAAGATCAGCTCTTTTATTCAGGGCTAAAAATGCAGCACTTGGAAAAACTGGATAGGTGGAGTACATCATACTCAAAGCAGATAACTGTATAAGTTTAAACGGTAGACGAGGATGTAAGCAATAGTTTGAGAGGTAATGAAAGGGAGATGGAGAGAGAAAGAGAGAAGAGAGAAGGAGAGTGAATAGGTGAGGGAGAAAAGGCGATGAAAAAAGTGAAAAACAAAAACTTACGAGCGTCCATCTGAATATCTACGAAATCTGAAACAGTTTTTTTTTTTTTATTGACAACGATTATAACAGCATTACGGAGGTAATGATTATGAATCATTTTCAGAAGCTCTGGCGTCATAATCATATTATCCAACTTACTTGAGAATTCGAATAGGTTTGTTCGTTTGAAGTAGAATAATATTGAAAACTTGAAGTGATTAAAAAAATTCGAATGTGAATTTCATGTTGTGTAACCATACTTATGCTGCAAAAGTTTCATCCAAAGTGGACAAACTTCCAGATGCTATGTAAATAGGTACGACCACCATGAACAATCCAATGGAAGGTCCCATTAATACACCTTCCTTTTTGTACATTTTTATGCACATTTAAGTGTGTAGCTCATCTTCAATAACACCGTGAGTTAGTAAGCTGTAACAAAGTGAGCTTTCTATGGGTTTATGCATGTATGTGTGATCATGTGACCGTTTCATTCTGACAGAGGTTGTGCATAGGGATTACGAACCATTGTTATCACTGTACTACATATACAAACAGTCTTCAAGCTCTACAAATGTTTCGTGACCATTGTTTCTGTCTGGGGAGAAAACGGCCAAGATCATAGTTTACGATCTTCATAAGGTAAAGGCGGTTCGTAATAACATAGACTGTAAATTTCTGCCTTTAAACGGCTTATACGATACTTCTTGGGCAGTATCCAATATAACCAGTCTCCATAGTCATTTCAGCTTAATCTTGTAGGTCAAATCTATTTGTATTCCCCGTACACTCAAATTTCAAAATTCTTTTGATACAAAGAAGGTGATTCTTTCATGAAATGCAGCTGATTGTTGACTTGGTGAATATTTGGAAATTGAAATGCACTCAGCAAAGTTGTACACATTCTTGCCGTAGGCAATCAGTCACATTTATTGTATGATGGCTACCTGACTATCTAAACCACTGTACTGTACAGTACAGTGAGATTTGATTCTGTGATCCATTGATTGAAAATAAAACTTTCTAAACCAATAAGCCACATATATTGCCTAAACCTTGTCCACCATAATGAGTTTCCGTTAACATCAAGGCAACTATTATACGATAATGTTTGGATCATCCTCAATAAACAATATCGCAGCTATTGAATACTTATTCATTAAAAAATATATTTAAGTATTCCATTAAAAATGAATACTATACAGGTAATATATATATTTCAGTTAAAGGAATTTTGTCTGAGTTGTTGATAGAGGTCAATAGTGAAAATCGGTTTGGACAACTCTCAATGAAAGGCAATGAATATCTGCTGCGTCTTCAGTTAGACGAGCAACTGATTTCGATGTTAAAGTTAATATAGCTAACCATCGATATAAAACCATATATAAAAAAGAACTAGTTAATTAAGGTAGGATTAAAGAAATAAACAGAAGATTAGCAGTGTTTGGGACTTTAACAGGGATCAATTTTGGTGCTGTTTTTTTTTTTAGCTCAAATTACATATCAGCGTGAATTAGAACCTTTAGGAGTTATTTTATGCAAGTTACTTTTTGATATTTTCTCAGGTAACTCAACTTTTTATGTATTCTAATACATCTGAGCAATGATATCATGACTTCTATGATTCACATTTCTGATGACCAGTTTTATTGTTCCATGACAAGAAAACGATTTGCACCGGCGAGTGTTTTAACCTTATAGGATTATCCACTCATCTGCTGACCGATAAATCGATAGATAATTACCACCCTTATCTTTGATGCTTCACCTATAACAAGTACAGCGAAACTACACGATGTATTTAGTGTCATACATTATGGGGGAAAGAAATCGATTCAAAATGGTAGATAAAACGTTTACTAACGTCATCTTCAATGAAAATTTTTGCTGCTTAGTTTAAGAGTATACAGCGATAAATGTATGGATTTTGTTACATGTCTTCCTTTTCCACATTTAAACTACTGTAGACAGAAGTGGCAGATTAGAAGTATGTGTTATTCGATGGATGAGAAAAAAGGAAATCCTGAATTACAAGTGAATCGAAAGCAAGCGAAGCAGTAATCGAATCTGTATTCGTTCACATTCTGATTTCATTCAGACTTTTGCGAAAAATTCTTAAATTACAAGGTTTTTAAAAGTTTATTTTGTTGTGTCCTTATCCCAACATCCTTGAACATCATCTTCCATCCCTGTCATTGAATTTATTTCAGTTCGCTCTCATAGTAGAAGAAAAATCAGGATACACATTGAGCAGTAAAGAAAGACATCAGGTATATAGAGGCAAGGACAAACTTTTTCAAAATATATGGAATAGTTTGGAATATCAGCCATTAAAATAACATATATGAACAACTTGAGAACTACTTTTAGTTCTCGCCGTCTGAGTTTTTTCTCTACCATCACCTGGTACCATGATCTTCTTCAGTCCTTGTGCATGTGTGTGTGTGTGCGGTGTATGTAAATAAAAGTCTGTCACTTCAATTATGATCATTGTGTGCTTGAATTTTAGTATCTTGTCGATGGCTTTATTTTGAATTTGGCCTGTTTTTCTCTTGAAAAATATACTGTGAAATAAAAATATCCAAAAGGGACTAGACAAAATTATCACTGAAAGCTTTTTCCGACGAGAAAATTGTTGTCATCTCGCAAAAATATTATTTTACTGCTAAGTGCATCTGTAAATGTACAGTGATAGCTTGATAGATTTTTGAAGAAAATCAATGAGAAGTTCCTAACGTATGTATTATACTTCTATTCAACGGTAGTATTTATTTATTCATGAATTCAAGAATATCCTTCTTCATCATCAACCAACTTTCTTATTTTTTAGATGATGACTAAACGCAGCTGAAAACCTCGTTCACATCATGACTGCTACCAATATCCTCTGATTACTGAACTTGTGTTTCATTGACTAAAAGAAAAAGAGATAACCGCTGGCAATGTCTTAGTGTCACTTCAGTGGCAAAGTGTGTTTGCAATGGAAGTATACAGAATGTCAAGAATATAATATAAATGGTTTTGAACAAAATGGCGATCAAATGCTTTATCAATGACGATGGTGAATTCTAAAATTTCTTCCATAGACTAAACTTATTCAGTGTTTAAGGTCATACAATCGACAAGGATTAAAGACTGATGGCCTTCATCACATCCTTGAGAGACACTGTACCCCACAACTAACTGAAAGGAAAAAACCATGGTGTTTCTTTTTAATCTTGCAGGTCACTTGTGATATAAAAGAAATGAATCAGTAAAACTCATAAAACTGACCAACAATAACTTGAGTACACTAAACCAGTAAAGAGATTAATCGATATCAGTAGGATTTTTAGTAAGAAGACCGAAGAATACATAAGATCGTGATCTTACTCCATAAGTTTTCTTTGAATTATTAAAAGAAATAGTTTCATCTTTGACCGTGGATCCTATGAATTATTGGGATCAGATACACTAAGGAGTTGATGGAATTCAATTTAGCCGCATGCATCACTCAGGTTTCACGATCACGGTATAGGAATGAGCAACTGATTTTTTCTGAATAACACTTCTGTAACAAATTTTCCAAGGCGATTATTTCAAAATGTTATCAGAACATCGCCTTTAAGTTTTCATGCTTCTAGGTGGGTTTGGAGTCATCCTTGTACTTAATACTCATATGCTGAAATTCAATAGTCAGGTTAGCTAG